ATGTCTTTAAGGTCTCAGCACAAGTAGTATAACTTTTCAAACAGAGGCCCAACCCTTTGCATTATTATTTATTTTAGTTGGAGTCTCACTCTGTTACCCAGGCTGGAGTGCAATAGCACGCTCGTGGCCACAACAGCCTCAGCCCACTGGACTCAGGCGATCCTTCTGCCTCAGTCTTCCAAGCAGCTGGAACCACCGGCATGCACCACCATGACTGGCTAATTTTTTTTTTTTATTTACTGTAGAGATGAGGTCTCACCAAGTTGCCCAGGCTGGTCTCGAACCCGTGGGCTCAGACAATCCTCTCACCTCCACCTCCCAAAATGCTGGGATTTCGGGCATAAGCCACCACACCTGGCACTTTGTATTATTAAGAGTAGTATAAGTTAACAAGCAACCAGGTTCTCCAAAGGCAAAAAATAAATCTAAATTTACAATGTCCAATGTGATAGTCTCAGAATTTCAATGAAAAATTACCCACTAAAATTTCCCTACCAGAGGCCAGCACAGTGGCTCATTCCTATAATCCTAGCACTTTGGGTAGCCAAGGTGGGAGGATTGCTTGAGCCCAGAAATTCAAGACCAGTCCTAGGCAACTTAGTGAGACTTCGTCTCCACACAGATAAAAACCAAAAAATTAGTCAGGCATGGTGTTGCATCCCTGCAGTCCCAGCTACTCAGGAGGTTGACGCAGGAGGATCACTTAAGCCCAGGAGATTGAGGCTGTGGTGAACCATGATCGTGCCACTGTACTCCAACCTGGGAGACAGAATGAGATGCCAACTTAAAAAAAGAAAACATTTTCCTACCAAAGAGAAAAGTTCAACATAACTATTAACTATCACATTGGAAGAAACCTCACAATAAAACAAGCAACTTTTACATGCATACCACAGTAAACTAGAAAGTCTCTAGCTGAGCTCGGTGGCTCAACCTGTAATCCCGTGCCTTTGGGAGGCTGAGGTGAGTGGATTGCCTGAGCCCGCGGATTCAAGACCCGCCTGGGCAGTGAGACCTCATCTCTACAATAAATCAAAAAATAAGCCGGGCGTGGTAGCGCACGCCTGTAGTTCCAGCTACTTGGAAGGCTGAGGCAGAAGTATCACCGGAGCCCAGCGGGTCGAAGCTGCGGTGACCAGGAGCGGCCACTGCACTCCAGTCTGGGCAACAGAGTGAGACTCCAACTCAAAAAAAAAAGAAAGTCTCAAGTTCAGGTCCTATAATCTTTCAAAGTAAAATACATCAGTGGAACACCAAAAAAGAGGTCACTAATTAATCTGTTTACACACATGCTCCTTGAATTATGGGGTTATGTCCCGATAAACCACCTATGCTAAGTTGAAAATATTATAAATCAAAAATGCATTTAATACACCTAAACTTCCAATCATCACAGCTTAGCCTAACCTGCCTTAAATGTGCTCAGAACACACTAGCCTACAGTTGGGCAAAACTATCTAACGCAAAGCTTATTTTATAACAAAGTGTTGAATATCTCATGTAATGTATTGAATACAGTAACTAGAAGCGAAAAACAGAATGGCTGTATGGGTTCTTGAACTACACATTCTACTGAATGCAAACTGCTTTTGCACAACTGTAAAGCTGAAAAATCCTAAGTCTAACCATCACAAAGTAGGGACCATCTGTACAAGTAGCTGGGACTGGAGAGAGAATCAACTCAGAGGATAACATAAAGAAGGATGATTTGGGGCCCGACTCAGTGGCTCAGCCTGTAATCCCAGGACTTTAGGAGGCCAAGGTGAGTAGATTGCCTGAGTGCGCGGGTTCAAGACCAGCCAGGGCAACTTAGCGAGCCCTTGACTCTACAATAAATAAAAAAAAATTGGCCGAGCATGGTAAAGCACGTCTGTAGTGCCAGCTACTTGGAAGGCTGAGGCAGAAGGATCACCAGAGCCCAGAAGGTGAATGCTGGGGTGGCTATGAGTGTGCCACTACACTCCTGCCTGGGCAATGAAGTGAGATTCCAACTCAAAAAAAAGAAAGGATGATTTGGCTACCTATTCTTCAAACCAGTGTTGTCATTCCCCCACCAAATCTCAGGTCTATAACCAACTGTGAAATCAGTTCAGTGGAAACTGACCTGGTTTAAGAAAATAAGGCCTGATGCAGTGGCTCACGTCTATAATCCCAGCACTTTGGGAGGTGGAGGCAAGAGGATTGCTGAGTCCTGGGGTCCGAGACCAGCCTGGGCAACTTGGCAAGACTTCACCTCCAATAAATCAAAAAATTAGCCGGGCATGGTGACACATGGGCCTGTGGTTCCAGTTACTTGGAAGGTTGAGGTGGATCACCTGAGCTCAGCAGGTTGAGGCTGCAGTGGCCATGAGCAAGCCACTGCACTCCAGCCCAGGCAACAGTGAGACTCCAACTCAAAAAAAAAAAAAAAAAAAAAAAAAAAGAAAACAGTAAGAAGTAGTAAAAACCTTAATACAAATTTTCCTTTTATCCAACAGAATAATCAATTCGACATCTGAGATAAACATTAGGATTTAATGATCCATTTACCAAGGCCACTTTCTAAACACTTCACCCATCTTTCTCTACTTTTACCTATTTTCCAATTGGCAAAATAAAGAATTTTCAAGAGATACTAAAGTCTAGCATTTTATTTGTTTTTGAGGTGAGTCTAACCCTGTCACCCAAGCTGGAGTGCAGTGTGGCACATTCATAGCTCACCACAGCCCTGACTTCTTGGCTCAAGCAGTCCTCCTGCCTCAGTCTCCCAAGTAGCTGGGACTACAGGCCCATGCTACCTCACTGGCCATTCTCTAGCTTTTTTTTTTTTTTTTCTTGAGTCGGAGTTTCTCTGTTGCTCAGCTTTCCCAATAGCTGGAACTACAGGCATGCATCACCACACCCGGCTAATTGTTCCTGATTTATTGTAGAGATGCGGTCTTGCCAAGTTGCCCAGGCTGGTCTCAAACCCTTGAGCTCAGGCAATCCTCTTACCTCTGCCTCCCAAAGTGCTGGGATTGTAGATGTGAGCCAGGGCACTCGGCCAGATGAAAGGTTTTCAACTGAGGAAGATTTTACCCCTTTCTTCCCCCTCGAAACTTAGCAATGTCTGGAGACATTTGAATTGTCACAAATGAGGGTGTGGGAAGAGATGAGATGCTACTGGCATCTATCGGGTAGAGGTTAGGAATGCTGCTAAACATTTTATAACGCACAGATGCACAGGAAACCCCCCCAAAGAATTATATGGTTCAAAATACCAATAGTGCTGAGGTTGAGAAACCCTGCTGGAGACCAACATATACCTTTCAAACCTAAATAAATCCAGTACAGATACCCTTATTCTGTATCACTTTAGTTCCTAGAAGCACGGCAACTTCATTACTAGCATACCTACAAATAGGTTTATAGCCGGGTAGAAGATACAGGTTTATCCTGTTGCCAGTGGCAGGTAACATGGAAATCTCTCCTTTGTTCATGAGACACTTAACTAAAATAATCCCTTTTGTACAGTCTGAAAGGTCTCTAATAAGTGTACTTCATATGTAGTCGATTTCATTACAGTATTTAATATTTCCCTTGACCCTACATAAATCAGTGAACAATAAAGCAGCAAGACTCTGATACAGCCAAGATGCAATGAAAATTTATTTATTTTTCCAAAAGGTCCTGGGGTATGCAGAGCGGGCATTACCAATAGGAGACAGCCTGCATGTAAAATACACTTTGAAAGAATTCTAATCAAAAGATCAAGAAGAATAATAATCCTGGTGATGGAGGAGTCTTCTGCTTCCAAAACCCTAAGTACCACCCTCCTAATGCAACTTCCTTTTTACCCAGTCAGACATCCTCAAGGAACAGCAGAAGAAGTGGCTTGGAAAATCTTTAATGGCTTAGAGAGAGAGAGAAACAGAGACAGAGAGACTGAGAGACAGAGAGAGAGGGGGGAGAGAGAGACGACAACGAAAGCATTGCGGACATAGTTAACATAAGAGAAGGGGGGGTGGTAAGTACGTGATTACGACCAGGGACAGACAAAAAAAAAAGACTTCATTTTTAATTCAGTTTTAATCACAAAGTAGCATCTCTGCAAAGATTGAAACACTGCAGACCAAGCCTCCGTCGAGCCTACTGTGGCCCTAGAACTGACATGTTTTGGTGTGCAGCTTTCCAAAACTTTTCCTAGGGGTCTGCAAGCGCAGCTGTCTGTCCGTGGAAGCACACGTGGTGACGACGACGATGGAGACACGCTCGGGCGCCTTTCCGCGGCAGCACAGAGGGGGGTATCCCATGCGTGCTAACACGGCAACAGCCGTCCTAGAGATGGGGGCTCCCCCCCGAAACTTGGGGTGGTGGGCAGAAACGCCCAATTCGAGGCATCCCGTTGCAGGCTGACGCGTCCCCAGGCAGGAGGCGCGCGAGACCGAGGCCTCGGGGATCCCTGGATGAGTCGCCAAGGATCACAATAAACAAAACAAAAACGCCCACCCTCCCACGCCATCACGGCCACGGAACCCCCGGCCTCGCGGCCCCAAGTCGGACACCTCGCTCTTGCGGCGAGCCGATTGGACGACCGCCCTGAGCGCTTTCCTCAGGCTGTCCGCCTACTGGCTCCCGCTTTGGTCCATCCATTGAACCGCCCGACTCCCGCTTTCCCCATTGGAGTCGAACCGCGGCCTGCCCAACCTACCGCGCGCTTCGCGCTCACTGGCTCCGGGAGACGCTGCTCAGGGAGGAAAAGCCCGCCTCCCGCATTCCGATGGCCCAAGCGCCGATCACTCGGCACCGCAGGGCAGACCTCATTGGCCCGCGCCCACGTCAGTCAAATTCTTCGGCGGCACCGCTCCAAAGAGCCTACGGGGACGAAATATCCCGCCCACTGTTCTTCTATTGGCTGGCCCGACCCACCGTTGCCCCTTCACTATCCCCCACCCCGCTGTCCATTCATTTCACACAATAACGGGCCCGAATGGAGTCGCTTCAAGACCTCGTATGGGTAGATAAGACTGTCTGCCACTTACCCGGGATCAAAAGTGATCACTCACGCTAACGTCCGCCCTGTTCCTCTATGGTGAGGCCGCGCCACAAGCCACCGCTGCCGCCGCCTTCTGCGCAACGCCAACCGCCCGCCAAAACGGATCCTTCCCTGCGCCTGCGCAACCAATCCCGGGATCGGACACTTTCTCCGCCCATTGCGCATGCGCAAAACAGGACAGAACTCCCGCCACCACGCAAGCGCTGTAGGTTCGTTCACCCTCTCTTGCCCGCCATTTCACGTGTTCCAAGCGGCAGGCGGAACTTCCTAATGCGCCTGCGCAAACTCGCCATTTTACTACACATGCGCTCAACAGGTGGTCGTTGGAAAAAAATAATTGTCGCAAACTAAATACTTTTCTAATGCATATTATTAATAATGCTTTGCCAAGAGAGATGGATGTAACATTTTGGCGTGGACGTTAAACACGCATTTAAAAACCCTAGGTAGATTTAAATATGAAGGATTGGTCAGCTAGCCAATCAGACTTGTTAAGAATAACATCACTCGGAAACCAATGACTTCCAAGGGGCGGAGACTGCTTAGAACGCCCAAACGGATGACGTCGAATAGCAGTGTGGCAACACCAGCCAATGGTAGGGGGAAGCGATTTCAAGTAGCCAATGACAGCTAGGAGGAGGCGGAGTCAACCAATGCCGAAAGCGAAGGGGCGGGATAAAAGAGAGGCCGAAGGTAGGCTGGCAGATACGTTCGTTAGCTTACTCCTTTCTGCCCGTGGACACCGCTGAGGAAGCATCGCTAAAGTCTCTCTCCCTGCCGCCGTCATGTCTAAGTCAGAGGTGGGTTAGACGCTTTTTGCCACTTGAACTTGTTCCCCTCCCATTCCTGAACTCGATAGGATGTAGCTTGGTTTCGTAGCTTCGCCCAGCCCATTCGACAGTTCCTCCGGTCTCTATCAAGGCCTACCCCTCCCAAAGTTCAAGTCGCCATTTTGTCCTCTTCGTCGCCATGAGGCCGCTGTCCGCCGAACGTTAGTGATCTCGCAGGGCTTGTTACTCGTGGCAGAATTGTTAGACCACATTCGGTCTCTTTTTCTGCCTAGTCTCGGCGAGCGAGTTTCTTAAAGAGCTATTCGCTCCTTTTCGGCGATGCACCCTTCCCACCCGGGCCTTTTGTTGCGCGTGCGTCGGAAGGAAAGGGGGACGCATGCGCTTGCGGCTTCCTGGCGGCTCCAGCTCCCCCTAGGCCTCCACCTATCTCGAGCAGCACGTGGCCGCTGGCCACCCGAACGAACAATAAGTGCCCGGGACTTCGGTGTGTAGTTGGTCCCTTCAATGAGCAGTTGTCCCCACTGAACCCTTTCTTCTCTTCTCTAGTCCCCTAAGGAGCCCGAACAGCTGCGGAAGCTCTTCATCGGAGGGCTGAGCTTCGAAACCACCGACGAGAGCCTGAGGAGCCATTTTGAGCAATGGGGAACGCTCACAGACTGCGTGGTGAGGCTCGGGAGGGACAAAGGTGGTGGAATGAGTGGCTCTCCTCGGGGCCTCTGAGTGCAGGTCCTGACGGAATGCTTGGGGAGGTTGCTAGGGGATTGTAACTTGAGGCCCTCGCGCACAGGAACTTGTTGCTTTGCCTTCTGACTATGAGAGCCCTGTCTGAAGTCTAGGGTAGGGAAAAACCAAAGAGCTGGTAGAGCATTTTCTGGTGCCCTGTTCGAGGTTGTAATGACAAGGAGCATCCAGGATCAGGCTGTGTGTTTAAGAGAGTTCACATTGTTCTCAGGTAATGAGAGACCCGAACACCAAGCGCTCCAGGGGCTTTGGGTTTGTCACGTATGCCACTGTGGAGGAGGTGGACGCAGCCATGAATGCGAGGCCCCACAAGGTGGACGGAAGAGTTGTGGAACCAAAGAGAGCTGTTTCGAGGGAGGTGAGTGCTTCCCTTATTCTTTGGAGATGTGCTGCCAACGGACCTCATTTGGCAGTATTCTGAGCTTTTGGAGATTCATGATTTCCAAATAGGTGGCTTTATAAGTTTTTTTTCTTCCTGTTAGGATTCTCAAAGACCAGGTGCCCACTTAACTGTGAAAAAGATATTTGTTGGTGGCATTAAAGAAGATACTGAAGAACATCACCTAAGAGATTATTTTGAACAGTACGGGAAAATTGAAGTGATTGAAATCATGACTGACCGAGGCAGTGGCAAGAAAAGGGGATTTGCCTTCGTAACCTTTGACGACCATGACTCCGTGGATAAAATTGTCAGTAAGTATCAGGTGACTAGCATCTACAGAGGGTTCCAGAATTCATATGGTATAGATCCTAAGATACGTTCTGTTTATCGTCCAAATTTTGTAGTTCAGAAATACCATACTGTGAATGGCCACAACTGTGAAGTAAGGAAAGCCCTGTCAAAGCAAGAGATGGCTAGTGCTTCATCCAGCCAAAGAGGTAAGTTTGCTAGTTCACTAAACTTGAAAGTTAACTTTGAGTTATTTCAATATGAGTGATTTAATATTTGAACTTACCTCTTAAGGTCGAAGTGGTTCTGGAAACTTCGGCGGTGGTCGTGGTGGTGGTTTCGGTGGGAATGACAACTTTGGTCGTGGAGGAAACTTCAGTGGTCGAGGTACGTGTGGTTAACCAAGGCTTACAAAGAACTAGCAGCTTGTGATTTGGTTTCCCTGCATGATTTTTCCCTTATGTAGCCTATAGTAGCAACATGTAACACTGGCCTACATTTCCAAAATTATCTGTCAATTAGCTTAAACTTTTTATTTACTCTAAATGTAGTTCTGACTTGTCACTAACCAGAAGTTAATGTCTTTGGTATGGATATCATTGTGCAGTATAAGACATGCTTCCAGAATGTCACACAGATGCAATTCATGTGCTTCAAACTTAACTTTGAAATTTTGCTTTCTTCCAGGTGGCTTTGGAGGCAGTCGTGGTGGTGGTGGATATGGTGGCAGTGGGGATGGCTATAATGGATTTGGTAATGATGGTAAGTTTTTTAAGGAATGCATAGATAAAAATTCCTGGCAACCTGTATAATTAGAATAGGCTAGTAGAAACTAAAACCATAGTGCATGACAAGCTCAGCTTGGCCCATAACCCGCATGCTGTGAGCAGGCCCTTGGTCATTACACTGCACAAGTTTCTTTTGTTAAGTACTTTTGTCTTATTGAGAAGAATTGTATTCTTGTAGGTGGTTATGGAGGAGGCGGCCCTGGTTACTCTGGAGGAAGCAGAGGCTATGGAAGTGGTGGACAGGGTTATGGAAACCAGGGCAGTGGCTATGGCGGGAGTGGCAGCTATGACAGCTGTAACAGCGGAGGCGCCTTTGGCGGTGGTAGTGGTAGGTATCCAGTGATGCAGGTACTTGGTGTGAGAGCTAGATTAGCCTTTCAGAGAGTAAGACCATGCTGGGTCTTAAAGCGTGTGGTACATTGCATGGTATATAGAAAATAGTGGACTTGCTATGCTACCTCCTCCTAGCTTTAAGCTGGGGCCGCCTCACTCCCAAATCAGTATAGATAGATGATAGATAAGTGGATGTGGTGCCTTCACTTGCGTTAGGTTAGCATGGCAGGATTTAGCGTCAACTCCTTTGGGACCTTAGGCATTTGGTTGATATATCCAAGAAACAAGTGTTTGCAGTGGCCATGGGTCCATAAAAGGCCTCCAATGCTGGAAGGCATACTTGTGCCACTATGAGAAACTCTTGTCACAGTGAGTGAGTTTGTTTTCTTAATTACTGGATTATTCAACTGAATGCCTTTTCCCAGAGAATGAAATACAAAGAATTGGAGCCACTGTAGTTTTGGAGAAAGGCAGCAGATAATACAGCCTTCCTTTATTTTGAACCCTGAGCAGTTGGGAATTACTGTCTTCCTCGTGTAACAAAGTCCTTTCTATTCCTAGGAAGCAATTTTGGAGGTGGTGGAAGTTACAATGATTTTGGCAATTACAACAATCAGTCTTCAAATTTTGGACCCATGAAGGGGGGGAACTTTGGAGGCAGAAGCTCTGGCCCCTATGGTGGTGGAGGCCAATACTTTGCCAAACCACGAAACCAAGGTATAGTCTATGTGTACTATTGAATGGTATCAATATTAAGTGTATTTATTTATAACTAGCGCTGGTAAGAGATGGATTTGCCCTTCAAAGAGGAATATGTGCAATAAAAAACACAGTTTAAAACCTTCCCAAAGAAGTGATTGGAAAAATCATGTGATCTCTTTATAATATACTCCCTTTAAGCGGGGGGCATTTTTAAATGGCCAGATTCTAAAAACTTTATGGAGTAGTTCATTGCCTCAGATATAAAAACGTTACTATTAATACTGACAGTTCCCAACCTTAAAAGGTGAATTTTATTCTCAGGTGGCTATGGTGGTTCCAGTAGCAGCAGTAGCTATGGAAGTGGCAGAAGATTTTAATTACTGCCAGGTAAGTAAACATCTTTTTGTATGTTAGCATAATTTTTTAAATTGCTGATGAACCCAGTAACCCTAATGTAGATGAGCAGTGCAACGTAGTTAACATTGTAATTGCAGTAAAATTGTGGATATTAAGTTAATAATCAGATCAGCAAAATTTGTGGGAAACAAAACTTGCTATTGGATTGTAGCCTTGAGTCTTAATGTGTTTAGATTAACAACTTTATTCCATATTGTTCAACAGGAAACAAAGCTTAGCAGGAGAGGAGAGCCAGAGAAGTGACAGGGAAGCTACAGGTTACAACAGATTTGTGAACTCAGCCAAGCACAGTGGTGGCAGGGCCTAGCTGCTACAAAGAAGACATGTTTAGACAATACTCATGTGTATGGGCAAAACACTCGAGGACTGTGTTTGTGACTAATTGTATAACAGGTTATTTTAGTTTCCGTTCTGTGGAAAGTGTAAAGCATTCCAATAAAGGGTTTTAAATGTAGATTTTTTTTTTGCACCCATGCTGTTGATTGCTAAATGTAATAGTCTGATCATGACGCTGAATAAATGTGTCTTTTTAAAAAATGTGCTGTGTAAAGTTAGTCTACTCTGAAGCCATCTTGGTAAACTTTCCCAACAGTGTTGGAGTTAGAATTCCTTTAGGGTGATGCCAGGTTCTATTGGAATTTATTTACAACCTGCTTGGGTAGAGAAGCCATTGTCTTCA